AGATATTTATGAGGATTTAGATCGATAACGATTGTGCCACTTTATTTCACAGCAGTAGACCAGATATGCAGCCCTCCCTCCTTATGTACGCATGTTGTTTATGGATGTATTGGTTGGATGTTCATAACTCTTCTCACAGGGTTAATGGTTTTCACTGAGGCTCCTGTTGGGCTGAGAGCAAAAGGGAGATCATTAGCAGGTTTCCGCTTGGGCCTGCTGCTTCCCGAATGCTAAACGTCAATGTGACTTAAATAGGATTGGAATGATTGCACAGATGAGGGCAGTCTTTAAAGGCAGTCACGTCATAATGAACTGTCCTGCTTATAGACAGGTGTGTGTTTACACAGCCATTTGGAATCACTGGTGTGGAGCTGGTAGAGATATTAATATACATCTGACCCACTTTATTCTACTAAATGATATCATTTCTTCACGTCTTATTTCAGATTCATTCAGTGTTGGCTCTTGTGAAAACCAGATTCTCACTGCCAGCATTAGATGGAAACATGCAAATTATAATGTTCAATATGGAATGCACATTATTTTATATACATCTCATTAGGGCTGGAGACCAAAAACGTGTGCTAAAACAAGATTTTTCTTTTAGGTTTTGGTGTGTGGTGGGAGAGCAGTTGGGCAGTTTTGCAACAGACAAATAATAAAATGTGCTAAGTTTTTCTTTACATAATTTATGATCATTGTAGTTTTGTTTTGTTGTTTTAAATAATGATAATACATCAGTGGGTACTGAAACAGTGGTGCTGATACCAAAAATGTACCCAGTCCTATTTCATTCTGCCTTTACTTAATGGTGCACTCTGCAGCTTTTCTGGTGGAAGGTCCGCCACCTGCTTGTCTCCATGGAGATGCTATTGTTTTGCCTGGAATGTACCATGGTATGACATTAAACATACGCATATAGCATTTATTGATTATGGGTGTTTCTATAACTCAAAAATACAATGATTCCTTCTGTGAATAGGGGCGCCTCTCCATAGATGTGAACTGTAATGTAGCATAGTGATGTAAGCTGCTTGTCTCCCTTTTAACAGATAGGAACATAGATAGGATATGCTGTGGAACATTCTAGACAAAGCAAAAACATTTCCATGGAGACATCAGGTGGCAGAACATCCACAAGTAATTTTGCAATGCACATGTATCTGAGTTAAACTTGACGCATATCAGTAGAATAATATAAAAATTACCATAAGTAGTTGATAATAGATAAGTAGTTGTTGTTCAGCCAATCACATGTAAGCAAACATCACATCACATACATCTTTCTTATTGCAAAACTTGTCTTCTGGTCAGACCCCCCATCTGGGCTTGTGATCACAATACACTTCTTTCATATGGACTAACAGATAAATCTACCAATTACCATTCTATTATGAAAATGTCTCTGTATATGGCTGTAAAACATGCAAGGCAAAAACAATTACCTGGATGATTGAAACCCACTGCAGACATCCAATCGAAGCAGAATTTAAAAGCAGCTCTGACCGGATAAACAAACGCAACCATTTTACAATTTCATCACTAACCTTCAGTGACAAGTGTTATGGAACTGTGCAATAAAACTATAAACTTTATTTAGTCAAGTCGAATAACAAATTACATCACTCCCCACTCTGCAGAGAAGCCATTCACTGCTTCAGTCTGCCTGTGTGTGCCATTTGGGGAGAGAATAACCTGAAAACTAATCAGCCTCTGCTAGTGCACAGCTGTGTAATACATAATGCAATACAGAGTGTGTCCAGCAGGGGGTCTGCAGGGGCCAAAGCAGCAGGACGTCACACCAATAAGACCAAAGGAAGAAAGAATCGCACAAACTGACCACATGGCGTGATCGCATACACCAGCTGCAACATGTCCAGAACGCAAAGGACACTGCTCTAGTTTTAAAGCTAATTCCACAAAAGGAGATTGTCACTTTTCATCTTTGTAGCCTGTAGACATCAAGTGATAATATTCCTGCAAAATATATCACAAAACGTGTAGTAAAAACACAGAAGACAGGGTGAAACGCGGACAAAGAATGAGAGAGAACGAGGGAGCGGAGCTTGAAAGAGAATAGAGGAGTAGGGGAGGCACTCAAAGAGAAAGCCAAGTAGAAGGTACACGTTTCCATCGCTCCCAGGCAACGTCTTAAGAAAAAGAGATTCTTTGAAACAATGTCCAAAGCTGAATCCAGTCTGGACGCCTCTGTTATAGAAGAAAAGTGCATACAATACAAGCAGGCGCAGTATACAAATGTGTGTGAGGATCAGTGATAAAGTATGCTGACAAAAACAGTTTAAGCCTAAGCAGACAAGGTCAAAACAACACAGAATCAACCAGTGACAAGCAAATCTTTACATTGTTATGTTCTTTCATAGTTTGTACCAAAGATGTTGAAAATGGACAACAAAATGTGCAATATAAATAACTACACATCATTGATTAACTGATTGATCTGTGGGGGAAAAAATCTATTCAACTATAAAAGTGTGATAACTATAGACATTTATTACATAATGAAAGACCAAAGGGTTAGGTCCAGGGGTTTGAAAGAGATATTGGAGCAGGGTGGACACTGGGGACCCTCTGCAGAAGAATCACTTTGATGTTCTAACAGAAATGAAGATGAGGAAAAGGTCAAAAAACCACAGATGTGTTCAAAAAAAAAGAAAAAAAAAAAACAAGGACGTCAGCAACCGCTTTTCATGAAGTCAGGAAAAAAATAGATATGGCTTTGTGAAGGTTGGCTTACATGTTATAACCACAGACTATATATAAATGTATATATTTAGCCCACTAGCCACCAGGTTCCAAATAGGAAGCGAACATGGGCGCATTTCCAGCTCCACTGACTTTGGCTCTAATTCACTTTTTAACAAATTAATAAGTATCAGCTGCAACTGTTAATGTTGTGAAACTTAACATTTACTACAAAACCAACATTATAACAAAACCCAACATTATAACAAAACTGCTTTTTAGCTTGGGGCATCGAAGTGTTTGCTTACCATTTGCCCGTGGCCTCCTAGAGGGTAAATATCTGACAAAACTAGAACTAAAAAATAGCTACTTGATACTCAGCACCAATCCACCTGTTAATTCCTGTTTTCCTAAATAATGCTTTAATGAGAAAATGTATACATCTTAACACAGTAATTCACCCACAAGTTGGAGGCACTGAAGCCTTTGTTTTAGAGACATTATGGAAAGAGGAAAGGGCTACTGGGATATTGGCAATACTATACCTATAAGAGTTATGCTATCCATTCAGAAATTGTCTCATGCCACAGACCAAAGCATAAAGAAAGATTGTAGCATAATAAAAATCTTGTAGCAAAATAAAATCTTCACTCAACATGGACACTAAGAAATCAGCCACTTATTCGGTTGATTCAGAAAAGGCCAAGATCACATTAGTGCTAGTCCTAAGCCTGGGTACGAAAAAAGTCATGATGGAAATTTGGCCTAAATCTCCATTGCGTCCATGAAAATATCACTATTACAGGAATAAACCACAGTATATCATAGAACAAATTAGTCAAAATCCCTTACTTATTATGAGTGGGGTTGCCTTGTCACAAACATGACTTGTAATTTGGCCTAGTGCTACTTACCTCCATGGATAGAGTTGAAATTTATCTTCAATCTGTTGAACCTTCTAAACAAGAGAATGGCATGTCTAAAGACAAAAATTGTAAAGGGTTCATATTTACTTTAAACAGAATACCATTTGGTAAAAGTCTTTAAGAAAGATGAAAACCTTTGGATCCAACTGATTGAGTCCATTTAAAGCGCCTTGAAACTCTGCACCTTCTGAAGGTTTTGTGAGATTGCGACAATAATAAGTTTATTATTGGCTATTGGCTGAGTGGCCATTGTTGCCCTTGCTAACAGCTAACAGCTTCAGTGCTCACCATGGAGAGAAGGACGAGTCAACTCAAGAGCCTGCGGAAAAACTCACAGCTTGCTCAAAGCTACTAATGTCCAAGGCAAAGGGCTGCTGCTGGATAGAATACAAGTGCACTCAGACTGTACATAAACAGTATTGGAGCAAATGATGTATGTGTTAAAAATACTAGAAATAGCTGCAACAATCGTGGGCGTTTCATTGGCAGTGCAAAAACATAAAAACTAAATCAACATAATAAGAAAAAGATTACAGTGCACCACCACTTTAAAAATAGAACTGTATAAGCTGTTAGTGTTACTCCTTCACACCTTCCAGAGGCTGTACAGAAAGCAAAATATAAAGCATCCATTGCCATAAAAAAAACAAAAAAAACAAGTGTAGCTGGTAGTTGCCATGACATTAAAGCAGGCAGTATGTCTAGGGTCGAACAATTTGGGAAAAATATATTGATTTTTCAAACTTGCAATTGCAATTATATTTGCAGAAGACTAACTAATGCAGAAATCACATTTCGGAACATGTCTATACAGGAATGGCATTTTTTATAGAATAGATGAATAACAATTTTACAGCCTTTGCGATTTGAAAATTTTGTCCATTCAAATTGTGATTTCATTTAGATTAAATTTTATTTCTTCTTTAAAAAAAATACATTTGGCATTGATCTCATGAACGTGAAAGACTTAGAGATAAGATATAGAAAATATTCATATGTCTTCCTCCAAGGTCTGAACTCTGCTCCAAACCACATGCTTTTACTTGACAACTGGCTGGAGACATTTTCACACAAAAGGGTATCTTGCAACAGAACTTGTCTGTATGTAATGGTAGTAATAAAAGTGTAATTTTCTAGGATACGTGAACCTTCTAAAACCATATATTCTGTCAAACATATCCAAAAAACTTTGAAATAGCCTCTACGACAGATACTTGAGATCAATATGACCATTGGAAACTGGCACGCGGTGCTCATCTCATTCTAATGTGCTCCAATGTGAGAGCAGCTTCAGCAGCGGATGCAGTTTTTAAAGAGGGTAAACATGGAGCTTGCATCATTATGAAAAAGCACAGCAGTGAACCCACTCACCCGCGGCTGCCAGTTTTCATATTGCTTCTGGAGATTTGCCCCAATGGTCTCTAGTGCTTTCTGAGGACTCATCGACAGGGGATCTAAAAGGCAAAACAATGGGGTAATGAAAAACTGTACAGAGCCAGTACATACATCATCTCACAGACAAGCACTAATGTATAAAAGTACCTTTATATTAGCTACAGTTATTTAAAGTCACTGTACTTGAATTTTCTTTAAAAATGTGGAAAACAAAACTAGTTCATTTTAAACAGTTTGCACAAGTAAAATGCTTTCTAATTAGATGCAGATAGAGAATAATTCCGTGTAAATTCATTAACATAAAATTGTTCTTTTTCATCCATTTTGATTTAACGATGATGCTTTTGGCAATGATTTTAAAGGTCTCGATACTCAAATAATTAGGTCTTAAAATTGGCAACGTTTCCATTTGTTGCTTCATTGAGAGTACGGAGGAACTACTGGGAATTCAAATTTCTATACAGTGTGTGGGATGCCTGAGTTCATGTTTGATTATATTAACATACATAAATATACTTTATATTATGCAGTTTCAAACACCATTTTACAGCCTCTTAAATTTAGAATTTGGTTTGCACATATAACAAACGCTTTGGATAAACTGTTACTCCTCTTTTATTACAAGCAAACTCTCATGTTGAAATATTGATGGTAGTCAATCAATATGGCTTGAAGAAATGGAAAATATAGATTCAAACAGATCACATAGCGCTCATCAGCCTGAGAGTAGGTATTGACAATGTAGGAGGAAATAATACCCTTAAGTCAGAAAAATAAACCACTGTTGTTTTGATAAATGCACTCAGAGCACTATCATAACAGGACATTTGAAGATGCCTAGACCATATTAAAGCTTTTTATCCCAGAATGCTTGCGTGAAAAAACTGCAGTAAAGTCAAATAATTTTAGCATTAGGTTTACACTGTGAAAAGGATTTATTTGAAAATCTTAATCTTGTGTTAAACTGCTTCTGTGGCCATAGCTGCTCTGATGAAAGCTGCCCCCACACACACAGCATTCATAAATGGGTGGGTGAAGTATCCTGCTCAATGACACAAGTGCAGTATTTTTTGGTCCAGGTTACATGCACATTTTTATATTGCATAGATTATTGTGTATACCATGGAGATATTTTGTTACACCTCCAAAAAGTGTTGCAAATAGCAAATGAAAATTCTATTCTGTCAACTGGACAAAAGTTTTTAAAGTTTTACAGAAATGAAGAAGCCACTTGGATGAGCGGGGAAATGTCTTCACTCAAACTTTTGCCCAGTTGAACAAATTTTCTTTTTTCAACCTGGACCACTGAGGGATTACACAGACATCCTCTAAAAAGTGTGTTGACAGCATCTCTAAAAAGCTTGTTCACTTTTAGAAACTTTTAGAATTGTGTGGGGTTTTTAATGTTCTCTCCACAAGTTGAAAAGTCCTTGGGGACCTGAACAAAACCATCCTGCACATGCAGAAGCCACTGTGATTTTGGTGCACTCTGCTTTGCCCCTAGATGACACAGCTCCCAGCAGACAGGGAGGGTAAAAATATCTCAAACAGGCAAAAGTAATAAATAGTCAAGACCAAGCCCTTACTACCATGATTAACTATTGAACACTACTTTGATATAATCCAGTATGTTTTCAAAGGTTTATTTTTAAATATATTTTTAAAAGGATAAACTTGTTCATAGTTGTCTTATTAGTGATGCAAATCAAACTATTTAGCTGGTCACTACCTATTAAAAGAGACCCCACCTAATACTGTACATTGGGTATCGAAAAGAAAAATGCACATTCACCAGCTAAAAACAGTAAAACTGTTCCCAATTATGTCCCTTAAATGATTCTGTTTGCATCTTATGAGAATATACTTACACCTCTTCAAGTGAATATGCTTATTATTATTACAAAGTGTGGGCGATTGGAACTTAATGTAGTGGTAGCTTTTACATTACCATGGTTCACCATTAGTAACACTCTTAGTGCTTCATGCAGTTTTGTAAATGGCAAAAGGAGAAATTCAATTTGTCAACTGGACAAAAGTTAGTTTGGATGAGCTGAAAACATATTCAACCAAAATAGTTTCTTCAGTTTTGGTCAAAATGCTGGTGGAGACTGCCTTATATCTGCCTGAAGAGAGAAGCCAACAACAATGAAACTGCTTGTTTACAGTACTGAACTGTAAACAAGTACTTGTTGCAGAGTAGTTTCATTGTAATGAGCTCCTCCCTTCAGGCAGGTATAAGGCAGTGTTCACCAGCATTCTGAAGAAGCAGCTTGGATGAGCTGCGAAATGTATTCGACCAAAATAAACTTTTGTCCAGATGACAAATTGAATTTCTCCTTTTGCCATAGATTCTACCTGGACAACTGAGGGATTTTACATGCAGTTTTGTAAAGTTTGAAATATCTCATCAATAAGACTAGGACTTTCTATAGCCTGAGTATACAGGGCAGTACGTGAGAATTTTACTAAACGTCTCAACTCTGGAATGGACCATTGCTTGACTGAGGTGTTGGACTGCGGAGAGAAGTGGGTTTGGTTTGAATGTTTTTTTTTTTTTTTCTTTTTATGTATATTTATGCAATGTTGTTTGTATGCAATGTTAATTGCGGTACAATTTTAAAAAATGGCTCACCGATCCAGCACTCCAGGCGAGCGCAGGGGGAGGTCTTGACCACATCAGGAGGGTCCACCCCAACATTTAGGCACAGCACCAGCGCTACACTCACTGTCTTCATCTGAAACACAAGAGACGCACACAAGATCATCATTTGAAGGCCAAATATACATGTGTCTATTACAATCATATTATAAATGTTAAAATGAATAAATGGGGTCACTTGGTGCATCTTTAAGTTCAATATTCAACCTTCTCTGCTCATGTAAAATTCTCTCCCTCTTTAGGTAGGTTGGTAAATGGAAAGAGTGAAATGGTAAGCAGTCTGAAGGATGGGTCAAATGCTGACGAAAAATTTTCCTATGGGGACAATAAAAATAACCTTAACCATAAAGGCCCCAGTACAGATAAATTGTATAAGCAGCTACTGACGTCAAAATATGACATTCAATTGACCAATAATCGAGAAGTGTACCTTAGGATGCTGTATAGTTCCATGTGTTAAAGAGTAATTGAAAACGGCAGCATGAGCTCACACAGTGTAATGAATGTACAGAGTCTGGGCACGTTCCAACAAACACACACCATCACAAATCACAGGTCAAAGAGACGTCACTGAAATGGGGATGAGCCATAGTGACAAAAATAAAGAGATTTTTTTTTATTATTATTATTATTTTGACGCTAATGAGACAATATTTTATCAATGTACAATGTGCCTGTAAGTGGTTGAGGTTCATGTGTTGCCCAAAACATGACTGGATCCTAAACTTTTAATGAAAAAACAGCAGAATAATCCTTGTACTCTTGTTTGGGAGATTACAATAGATGTTTTTGTTCATTTTATTTTTAATCAGTCTTTTTGGTAATAAACTAAACTATAAGTGTGTCAGTTGATCATTTCTGAAAAATAAAATAATTGCCTAAACTCTTAACCAATGATGCATCATTGTTAAAATAGCAATTGCAACTTTTTTATTTTTCTTGGCAAATATGTTTTTGTTCATTAAAAAACAGAGACTAGAAAGATGAGTGCCTCAGCGGTTTGATAAAATATCAGGGCAGGTTAAATTCAGGATTACAGCAGGAACACTTAACAACAGAAAAATCTAAAGCAACTCCAACTCCAACTCCATTAAAAAGTCTTTTATTATAAAAAAATTGGACTTGCATATCCTTAATATATGTTTAATAAAATACAGATACTACAGTATGTCCTACAAAAGCACACAAAAACATTTCAAGGTTTATCTGTGAATGTGTAGAGCATGTGAAATGTCTCAAACATTAACCACTATGAGATTGAATATAGATATATTTATATAATATTTACAGTGTGGTGAGTCCTGGTGCCATGCGATCCCATCCACGTGCAGTACATGTGGGTCAATAGATGCTGGAGATAACCTTTATCAGGAGAGACCGAGTGTGTGGGTGGAGAGGGTCTATGGAGGTCAGGTTGTGTGTAAACTGGGTTATGTGTCTTCGCTGGATAAGTTTGCTTTTCCGAGGAGTGCTGTTATGGAGGTAATTAAAGCAGCCGGAGAATCCCTGCTGACCGGAAAAAGGTCAGTGTGCCAGTGGGGCGCAGCAGGACAAAAATCGTTAAAGGTGTGTACCCGTTAACATGAGGCATCACACGCAACACTCCAATCTGCTGTACTTCTCCAATGACCTATTGCATCTGACCTGTGACTAGACGCACACATTTTATGTCTGATTACACTGAACCTGTCAATGTCTATGATTACATGTACACCAACAATTTGATCATTTATCATTTATTTTCTGGAGTTAGCTATTGAAATATCATGTAAACAGTTACATCTGATGTGAGTAATCTATTTTGTTTTCTTTTGTTTTGTTCTAATTTTTCACAATTGTGCAGGTTTTGACAAGGAAAATTAAGCAAAAATCAAAACTAAGGCTGTGGCAAAGACTAAAATCCAAGAGAAAAGTTTAAACTTTGAAAATGTTATTATTAAATTAATTGTACTTTTTTCAAATACAGCAGATTTCTATGTGCAAACACCAAGAATCTGATTTTTACTGGTCATGTAAATGTTCAAAATGTAGTTGTCATTCATGGGGATTTGTTTAAGTAAGTCTTTATTTATATAGCGCTTTTCACAATACTGCAATATTGTTATTACAAGAGCTATTAAATATACATTTTTCTGTGCAACCAGGAAGCAATTTAATTTTGACTGCCTGCATTTGAGAGACACGTGTTACAAAGTAGCAGTGATTTGTGCATACAGGAGGCTTTGCACTCAATGCCCTTTTGGATTCAAGCAGAAAATAGAAAGAAATGGCTGGTTAAGCAGGTGGTAGACCCCCACCACAAAAGTTACATAATGCACCTTCAAAGGGCTTTAGAATTGATAAGAATTCAACACAAATATTCTTAGAGTTTAGATTATTAGTATTGCAATACTTAAGAGGAGGCATTGTTTATTTAGCATTTTTGGTGACAGGTACAACAACTGCTATAACCAGTTCAAGGCACAATGTTGTTGTGTCTATGGGATGCCATTGGCTACGTCAAGAAGAGCATCAGGGATAAAATGCAAACCCTGACAAAAAACAGAGCCAACAAACTGTTAAAAAGGCTTTCTAATATTTGTCCAAAATGACAAGTGCAAGGAATTAATATGAATCAGTCACGTAGATGAGTTATTTTTACCAGACATATCCAAAGAACTTTTCCTGCCAAGACCATGTGTGCCAAGAACCTGACCTGCTACTGGCATTCGTGTTCAAGTTCTGTGCCCAATTACACTGTGATTTACGGTAATAATAACTCTCATACAAAGTGAAGGGACAGCTCCATTACTCAAAAAGTCCTGTTTGATTTACGGAGTGTCTTTGGGCCAAAAGCAATATACTCGCCTCTGAACCACTCAGACTGTATTTTACAGATAGATGCCGTTACAGAGCTGGAACAGGGACAAATTTGATCCTGATTGCCTCAACTCTGGCCTCAGAAGTCATAAAGAAGGCAGCATAGAAATAAATGAACTAGAATAAATTTGGGGTATTTCTGTATGTGTAAACTATAAATAATTTTCATTTACAAATACTGGTCAATTCTATGAAAAGCAGATAGTTTAAATTCTCACTCCTTTTTGCTGTGATAAAAAAATAAAGTTAATATGAATAGAATCCAAACACTATTCAAACCCTCTCTACAGTGACCTCTAAGATTCTGTCCAATGCTCAGCCCTCAAGTATACAAATATATAAAAACATGATACAAAACTATACACAACAACTTGACAAACCTGATGTATTGTGCCATAGTTTCATTAGCAGGACATACGCTGATTGTTTTATGATGAAGGAAGAGGGGGGACTTATAATACATTTTTAAAATACAACATTTTTAAAACAATAAAAGGTAGCATGGTGATCTAAATGTGTTAGCACTTACCCCAGAGAAGTGAAATAGCTCAATTTAGCATAATACAGTATCTTCACAACATATTCACATTACTCAATAAGTTGTATTCACATTTGTTATTGTGCCTGCAAGTTTGCCACTACATTAAAACAAGTAAAAACAAAAATGACACCTTTAGATTATTTTTCTAGACAGAAGACACTGAACCTTGTGTCGGTGTTTCATGTGGATAGTCCCAGTAATTACAGAGATATAAACTAAAACTTTTTTTTTTTTACAGTTAAAAGGCAAAACCATATTCCAAAACTAATTCCTCCCCATCCTCCAGCTCATTTTAAACTATCCATCGGTCTCAAGATGATGAAAAATTAGGACAGTTTCCATAACAATTGACATTTTAAAACAAATTATTAGATCTTTTGAATACCCATTTTAGAAGGTTAAATGAACCCAGACTATTGTACCTATTCTATCTGTCCACTTTAAAACACTGGGGAGTGACTTGGATAGGTGTAAATGCCAAAAGGGCCTTCCCTGCCTGCAGATCTAACACTACATGAGGTTTCCTGCACAGCTCAGTTCACTTCTCATCCTTCAAAGAAGCACAGGCTTTCTGATGTCCCTCGACAAAGAGCCAAGAGCAGACACACACAAACTTTAATGAGGATTCGGGCTTCCTGCGGTACAGGGAAGGCTTACCTGCTCAAAGGTATTCCCTGTGTATTTCTCACTTTTAATAGGGGTGGGTGATATTGACAAAAATTAAAACCAATATTTTTTTATAATCCTGATAAATATTTTAAGACTTTATTATGGCAATCCATCAGAAATTTGCTAAAACATGTCGTAAACGAAATGGAGGTGCAAATATCACAGAAACCGGACTTTAACGTACCAAAATAACAATTCATACCTTCAGCTTTAAGATTACACTGCAAGTTACTTTATTTTTGCAGGATATTTGTTGTTGTTGTTGTTGTTGTTTTGTTTTTTTTATTAGACTTTATAGATATTTCTCAACAGTCATCTCAAAACAAAGCTATATATTTTTATAAGCCCATAATTCTGAATGACAGAATGCCAGGTACCATTTTATATTGTCAATATGTAAATTTATGATGTGGTATAGTGAGAATACAGCTAGATAACCCAGAGCATGAGAAAAGCTTTGCCCTTATTTTCAGACTTTATTGTTCTGTGTAACTATGTGGACATTTATATGCAACAGGTGTATAAGACCTACTCTCCATCAGCTGTTTGATGTATCTACAATGATATTCAGCAGACAGAAACTGATATTTCAAAGGGTACAACAAAAACACTAGCTCTATGGGGAAAAGAGGCAGATTTGGCCTTTAAATTCAACAAAGAAAATGACAGCAAGCCTTAGCGAAGCTTTAATGTGAAGTCCGGGGAGAGAGGGGGATGTTGCTGTCACAACAGGTGAAATGTCAAAGTGGTGGAAGGATGTGTCATTATCATTTCGGAGTATTTTCTTTTATTGGCCAACACTGTTTATGATTAACATGATTTTTTAAGTTGTTCTTCATCTTTGGCTTTATGGTACACGGCAAAAGAAAGTGAAAAGTGTGGAGACGTATTCATCAATTTATTTGGAGCTAGGAATGGATCTTACAGTGCTAAGGCCAGCACAGAACACTGATATGATTTGGCAGATATTTACATCGGATGCTCTTCCAGTCGACCCTAGTTACATT